TGGCTAATCAGTGAATAATATCTTACATCATTTGTTAGGTCATAATTAATAAAAACAAAAATTGGACAAAAGTGACTTCAGAGTTGAAAATCTCTACTTTGGTTGCTCGCTACTTTTGAAACAAAAAAAAAATATTTGTATTGGAAACTTTACCCATGCTTCGTTATATTTTTGTAATGCGATTAAAATGAAATTTTAAAATTAGTAATTAAATTTTAAAATTGACATTACTAATTAAGTATTAATAAATTTTTACTTATCTAATGGATAAAATTATTTTATAGTCTCTTCCCTCACCTCCAATTCATCTGACAAGATGAATTCAAGGTGAGGGAAGAGAAAATACTATTTTCTAGAAGCAAGGCAAAAGCATTGTGGTGTATATTTTTAATGCAACCTCTTGTATTTCTCTGGATCATGTTGAAGATATACATTTGTGGATTATAGAATGTATTATCCTGTTTAATTTCAAATCAACTAACATCATATATTTCAGTTATAAATTTCATAAGACTGTGCTTAGCAACGGAATGAAATGCAAATGATCCAATTTTGGAGCTAAACTTATTTAAATTTATTTCCTCAAAAATCGGTAATGATTTGCAAAAGAATATTTTGTATCATTATTTATTATGTCATTACCCACCTTTTAAAATGAGTGTAATACCATGTTTTCAACAGCGACTTGTCCTAACAGCACATACAAGACGATGCTACCAGAAGAATAATGAGGATTTGTGACGTAGAAGTTTTGCATATATAAAAACTTATGAATATATTTTTTATATATAAAAATATATGTATTTATTTATATTAAATTATTGTATTAGTGTTTCGGGTATATGTCACTCGACATCCCAGGAAGGCAGTCCATCTAGGTGAAGTAGATATTTACTTGACCCCACCCCCGCGCCCCGCTTAATCAGGTTGTGACACAAGGTCGGTGTTTAACGTGGGGACCCGTGTGTTTTCACTTGGGACGCTGGTCTAAGCTGGTCTTAGCTGGTCATGGCTTGTCCAAGCTGGTCAGAGAAGGTCTAAGCTAGTCCTAGCTGGTCTTAGCTGGTCATAGCTTGTCCAAACTGGTCATAGCTGGTCTAAACTAGTCATAGCTGGTCTTAGCTGGTCATAGCTTGTCCAAGCTGGTCAGAGCAAGTCTAAGCTAGTCATAGCTGGTCTTGGCTTGTCCTACCTAGTCCAGACCCGAGCCGGTCCAAGCTAGTTGTAGCCGTGATATTACCAGCACAGGGCCGAATCCCTACACAAGGTAAATATCCATCTAGGTGAAGTAAAAACCCTGATTTGAAACTTCCACTGCCTTGCGGTCATATCCAAACAGGCTGAACAGGAAGTGGTCAAAAACGGTGACTAACCTACAAAGTACCTAAATTATAAAGGGGACAAACAAAGAGAAATTAAAACAATAGTGGTTCTGTACCGTGGTCACAGAAGAAAGCATTAATATTTCCTTCCAATGAAAGTCATCGCAACATATAATATTGCTTAAATCTCAGACACACACTATTTGTTGGTATGAGATTACCATATCACAAGGAGGCACGGTGGAGTAATGGATAGCGGCTCGGATTGAGATTCCAGTCGAATCCATTACGTTCACTTACGTGCTAATACCCTTGGGAAAGGTATGAGTCCTCTTCTTCTTCTCCCACCAGATATGGGTAAATAGGATAGACCGGATTCTATAGTCTTGGATGGCAACTGGTCTTCCGCAGAAAGAAATGGCAATCTACTGCAGGAAAAAAAATCTGCCTCGAAAGTTACATGATCGTCTATGTGTGTATCCACGCATGACACAAAAAGGTTAGATTAGATATCACAAGATGGCTGAATTTTCAGCAGAATATCTGCTAGCGAAATACATGAGTATGCTAAAACCCACTCAAAATGACCATTGTGCTTCGGCGTGTTGTAAGTTTATTTCTATATCGTATAGTGTATTTATATATCACTGAACTATTTTAATATCTTTATGTGCATATACCAAGTTAGCAAAGTTTCTGAAGTGAACATCTGCTTAAATTTGATCCCGCATAGAAGAAAGAAAAATCGATATTAATCACTAATTTCAATATTCCAACCGACCTACTGTCGTTTCAGGCAAGAAGACGTTCAACAAATTTTCCTTGTAACAACCAGATGTGAGAAATCCTATTATATGAATCCAAACTCTAAGATAACAAGAAGTAATCTATTCCACAATTAGATATCTGTTTCTAAAATTTGCTGTTGAATATATCTATTAATTAAAAATTCATTTGGATAAAGAAAGCGTTTATGGATGTGCGCTTTGCGTTATCAGCGCGCTAAAGTGAAATCGGAAAGCCGTTCGAATTTTGGTCGATTTCGTTGCATTCACTTTCTCACATATACCCTTGGAAAAGCCATGAATCTATTGCTTCTCCTCAAACTATGCGTTAAATATCAGGGAATACTGAACTATTTAACCTTGGTTGGCAACCAGTCTATGTGAAGGAATTCGAAATCAGTTGGACGTATGGCTGGCAACGTCATCCCGTAAAAATCTACTTGCTACAGAAACCGTGGTATGGCTGTGCTACTTTACTCCCCATTAAAGAGTAGGAGAAAAGTAAGGATCTTAGGGAGGAATTATTCTCATCGTTCATTTATAGGTCACTCTTGAGATTATCTTGAAGCCTAATTCATGGCTACCAAACCTTTAATGGCGGGGTTAAAAGGTTTAAGATGTAGAAGATAAATAACTTTGAACATAAGGCTCTTTGAGACCCAAAATTTAACTTTCAAAGTATAGATATGTTTTTCAAATGTTTTTAACTATTTCATTATTTTAATGTTTTTATCGCAGATGGCGTAATGTTTATCGACAGACAAAATGAAATCAGCGGGCAGATTTCAAGTTCAGGCTTAGACGGTTACCGGCACTAAGTGATGCTCTTGTGACAGTCATTAATCTATTTCTTCCTCTCTCCCCATTTATGGGTTAAATAGCAGGATAAACTGGTCTCTCTTATGTTGGTTGGCAATCAGTCTAGGACAAGAGTCGTCAAATTTTTTCGACCAGAGACCCTCATTTTTGTTTATCTTCCTTCCCCAGCAATCCCCACTTAAAATATCTTTGAACCTTAAAACTCGCACTGATGTTGACAATTAAAATGTTAACTAAAATGAATGCAAAGTTAATAAATTTAGATCAGCTTCAAAATCCACCTCAGCGTCATCAGTTTCAGGACTTTTTAAACAAAAATATAGTTAAGAAAATATATTAAATAACCCTAATTAATGGAGCAAATATATATATGAAATACACGAAGCCTAAACAGAAATGCATAACAGCTACTAATATCTAACTGCACAATAGTAGTAATTAATTAGATTAAATAAACCAATAATGCATTATTCTTGATGCAATCATACCAATCAGGCCAAATGACCATCATAATCTCTATTTTACAATTAAAGGTTTAAAAAAGGGGATTATTATCTGAAAATCAACTTGGAACAATTAAAAAAGAGCAAACAATGCTCAATGTAGCCTTAAATAAGTCTCATCCCAAAAAGGTCAAAGCTACTTGGATGGATGTAAGTAAGACTTTTAATCCTGATGATCGTAGAGCTCAATGTCTTTCTTTCCTCTCTACAGAAGAATACAACATACAGGTTTACGAACTAAAATTTAACTCAAGTTCATTCGCACACAGACTTCTATTCGAAACTCTGGAACTCCTCACCGACCTCTGACGTCATCACCTTCAGAATACTCCCCACAAAAAAAAAATCAAAAAAAAATCGAGCAAACAATGCTCAATGTAGCATTTAATAAGTCTCATCTAAATAAGTTAAAAGCTACTTAAATTGATGTAAGTAAGGCTTTTAATTCTGTTGATCGTAGAGCTTAATGCCTTACTTTCATCTCTACAAAAGAATACAACATACAAGTACATTCTGCACATTGACCCCCATTCGACCCCTTGTCTATCATCGACCCTCGCTTGGACCTCGTTTGACGACCCCTTTAAATTTTTTTTTTTAAATGTGGAGAAGCCAACGGTAAATACTTTGCTATCTATCGCAAAGACAGTAAAGGCAATTTACAATTTGTAGTTATTAAAAGATTGGAGGTTGTGGAGAGCTATGATCGCCAACGTCCTCAAACGATATGATATTAAAGGAGGGGCTTATAATGTTTTAAACAGCTTTCATTTTCATACACGATCTCTTTTCTTTATAGAGGAAAAAATGAATTTAAAAAAGGCCACAAGAAAAAAAAAAAACAAGTAGAAAGCAAAAAGAAATAATGGAAACTCGATAAGAAATAAGAGGAAAGGCATAGAAAATGAAAATAAAATAATATCTATCCAATGTCTGTCATTTCTCGGAAAGCGGAATCGTGATAATAACGAATGAGAAGCTATCATCTGACCAGTTCAAAATGTCGCAGATTGAGTCACAAGAGAGTGGCAGGTGGAAGACAGTGAAAAACCCCAAAACACAGCTATTTAATCGATTTGGCATCTTTGGATATGACAGGGCCTTTTCGATTTAAACATCACATGTCAGGCAAGTCAGGGAATGCAGTTCGCTACAAACGCCATTAACTTAAAACTCGGCTTCTTTCCTTTCATATTTCAAATTTCAAAGATTGTTGTCAGCCATCACTTCCGTTTTCGCTTTGGTTTTTTCTCTCGCTGGCTCTAGCCGTCATCCACGAAACGCAGCCTATTTATTCAGTTAGCTTCAAAAATTATTGATACTGACACAAGACTAGGCGTCAACACCATAGGATAAGGATTAGCAAGTTAGTCTAGCAGAGTCATATCTACTGAAATTGATTTTTTTGATGCACCCAATTGTGGTGTGTCAGTATAAACTAAGTTGTGGATTCATATATATCTCTAGAATATTTGCGCAAGGTGAATATAACGAACCTAACGAGAATTGGAACCCGGCTCTCCGATTAACAATTCCGATTCATTATCCATTACACCACTCGCACATCTATGCTTACAGCACCTGGTATTCCCGAGCGGTTACCCATCTAGGTACTGACCATGTTCGACGTTGCTTAACTTCGGTAATCTTACTGGAAGCAGTGTTTCAGCGTGATGTGGCCATAAGCTACTAGACTGATAACAAGTTCTCATCAATTGACAGTTGAAATGGCGAGATGTAACCGTAAGTTCTATACTAATGTTTTCTTCTATCGTGCTTCCTGCTTTCCAGTCAAATTTGTTCTTCAAAAATGTCAATACAATGTCAGTCATGATTTGATGTCTTCTTAATTCTTGTTCTTTTATTGTTCTCTGTCCTTAATAATGTTCTTCTTTTTATCATATGCTTTCACGGTCAGTAATCTCATGTGTCTTAGTGTCTTTATTGCCTTACTTGGGGTGAAATGATTAATATAAAAGTTAGGACGTCTCGACGTATGGTAAAGATTTTTATGTTTTGTGATGTCAACAAGCACTCGTTGCCACTTTTGTGATGTCAACGAATACTCATCACTTTCGTCTTCCTCGTTGTAGTAGAGACTTTGTAATCGCAGATACAACAATAGTACACCGTTGAACAACGCTGGTGTCAGACGCCTTCGAATATCTCTCGCACTAATAGCACTTGCTCGATAATACTCGCTCGAATAGTAATCTTTATAGTGATCTGAATAGAGAAATAGTACAATGAATATAGTAGAGAATAACGGTGGAGTAATGGATAGCGGCTCGGATTGAGGAATCGGAGAGCAGAGTTCGAATTCCAGTCGAATCCATTACATTCACTTACGTGCTAATACCCTTGGGAAATGTATGAAACCTCTTCTTCCCCCCACCATCTATGGGTAAATAGAAAGACCGACAGGTTTCTATAGCCTTGGATTGCAACTGGTCTACCGGAGAAAGAAATGGCAACCTACTGCGGGAAAATGTCTCGTTAGTCATGTGTCGAAAGATACATGGTCGTCTAAGCGTGTATCACGCATGGCACATAACTGACTGATAGTAATAGAGGATACATTAGAATTGAGGATCGTTAGTCGTCAGCTACTTCCTACATATGCGTCTCCTCTATGGTCACGTGGTCTACTTAATTCAATAATGGGATCGCCTGTGTTTGCTCACTGGCGATCTATGTTCAAACTCAAGTGTCAGCAGTGACATTTTATTCTTATATAACAGTAATCTAGTTTAACAGATTATTATTAGTCTTTAAAGAATTTCATTGGCTGCTTTCCATTATGTGTTCTGATAAGAGAAAATTCTCCTTTTTCATTCTCTCAGTCTCATCCATACACTTATAGCCACGAATTTGATTTATTCTGTTTAATTCGTCTGAGTATCTTTCATCAGATTCTTTCTAATTAAATGTATTTCTTATTCTTAGCTCTGTCCATTCTTCCTGTCTTTCATTTCATTCTATTTCTTTTATTTTCTTCACTTGTTTCTAATTCAAACCAAATTTTCTTTTTCTTCTATTTTTCAGCCAAGGAAATATCTATCTACAACGGAGTCACTATTTCTGTACCGATCCACAGCGATCACCAGAGAAGCATCATCTATAACCCAACCAGATGCTGGTCCAAGGCGAAACGCTACACTTGTTAACCATTAACCTATGGCACTCGATGTACTTAGTTTATCCCGACACACCACAAAATGGGGCATCTAATAAAATCAAATTCAGTACATATGAGTTTGCTAGATTAACTTGCTAATCCTTATCCTATGGTGTTGACGTCTAGTCTTGTGTCAGTATCAATAATTTTTGAAGCTGTAATAACCTGCGTTTCGTGGATGACGGCTAGAGACAGCGAGAGAAAAAACCAAAGCGAAAACGGAAGCGATGGCTGACAACGATCTTTGAAATTTGAAATATGAAAGGAAAGAAGCCGGGTTTTAAGTTAATGGCATTTGTAGCGAACTGCATTCCCTGACTTGCATGACATGTGATGTTGAATCTGAAAAGGCCCTGTCATATCCAAACATGCCAAATCACTTAAATAGCTCCGTTTTGGGATTTTCACTCTCTTGATTTTTTTTTTACTTTCCTTACTGTCATTCTTTCGAATTCAAACAAACTGCTCTCTATTAATCATCTGATAGACCCTTTCATCGGTATGGCTGATGCTAACCCCCAGGACAGTGACTCGTTGCACCATCTTGGGCTAAAGATCTCGAAAAGTAGAAAGACTATATTGAATACATTGCTATTTAAGTTGGAATAAGACAGTTTTTATTTCCTGAATTTCTCTTACATATCTATAGGCCCATGATTAGAATATTTCTACCACATATGGTCTAGTGCTCCCGCTATATATCTAGGGATCCTTGGAAATCTAAGGAAGAATTAGCCATATTAATAATCCTAATCTGGCGTGTCGGCTTCAGTCACATTCCTGTCGCCGTAAAGTTGCCTCTCTGCACATTTTCTATAAATGCAATCACGACAATGTTCTTCGCCAGTGTACCTAGACATTAAGAATTTAAGCATAGTACTAGACTATTAACGAGTTCTCTTCATTATAAAATTGAGCTAGCAAGATATAACCATAACTTCTATGCTAACAGTACCTTTTCTCGCACTTCTCGCTTGTGGAACGCTCTTCCGGCTCCATGCTTTCCAGTTAACTTTAATCTTCAAAAATGTAAATGCAATGTCAATCTCTATATGCTGTCCACTTGATTACGCTTTTTTAGTTCTTGCTTCTTAGTAAAGTTTCTGTTTTCTAATTCTTCCACACCCAGTAACCACTTGAATCCTAGTGACTTTACTGCCTTGCTTGGGGAGGAAATCGATTTTTAAAAAAAGGAAAAAAAATGTCAGATGGGTTTGAAATAATAGACAGAGAACATTAGTGGAAAATACAAAACTTAATGAATCAGCATATATATTAGGCCACAAAAATTTCCTGAGCCGGCCAAGCATAGAAATGAGTACAATACGGGAACCAGTATACGGAGTGCCAGCAAAAAGCAATAATGACAAGAAAACTTCAATATGAGATCTGGTAAAAAAAAATGATTACTAAGGTATTAAGTGCCCCAAATTCATACATACTCGAGAACACACGGCCTGGTAGATAAAAGCGTTGGTTGAATCTAGTGACAAAGAGTTGGGAGTTCAATATCTGGCTACTGCAGTGGCGAACAATAACTGGGAGAATTGAGTTAAAGGGAGATAACAGACATCCGAAAGAGGCATGGCAGATGGAACTAGAACAATCTACCAAGGTGGATGAAATAAACGGTTCAGTTCGTAATTCCAATCACCTGAAGAAGGCCTGAAAGTAGAACTGCTGAAACATCGTGAATATGGCAATAAAGATGTAAATAATTACAATACCTCATCTTAGAAATATAGACAGTCTACTTTGCTTTAGATTTTTTTTTTTACTGTTTTTCTTTCTAGTAAAAGCAGTATTTATTAAGTTTTGCTTAGTGTGACAGTCAAATTAGAAGTTTCTAACCAGCGGAAAGTAAGCTTTAGAACTTTCTAATCTACAGCGAACACAACTAGTTGTTAACCCCTTCCCAAGTGTAAACGTGTATATACATTTTTACCGAAAGAGTTTTTTTTTTCAGACACGGACGAATAAACACGTCCAAAACATAACCTTAATAATCCACCTCCAGCCGTGTTTATACGTCGATCTTGATTCATTTTATACGCTTTTGAGCTTGAATCGTGTTCAGTTCTCAACTGATACGTCTGGTAGATGTGTTAGCCACCCAAAGGTGCCTCAGTTTCTTCGTTACTATATTAAAAACAAATTAAAAAAATCGCTTGAAAATGAAACATCTTTCCAAAAATAATTGCCTGTGGTAGTGGGGGCGTAATTAACGTTTGAATTTTTACCTGGACTAGAAGACTAATATTTCTTTAATCATGAGTAAAGTAGGAACTGTTCGTGCTATGAAACTGAATCTCATTGCTTTTCTATATTTACCAGTTGGTTTCGTTCACTGGTTTTTTTTTCTGTCTTGAGCTCACACATGTTTTTCTTCCTTCTGTTCTTCATATCTTGTTTCTTCTTTATTTCATTTATTTCTTTTCTTAAACTCCTTTCACTTCTGCCATTACATCTAATAACATCGTTTTGGTTTTCATTTTTATCTTTCACCCTCCTCACTTTATTGAATCCTATTTTGTCTCTTCCTTTCATGTCGTCTTTCTTTTTCTGTTTTTCTTTTTTTTCTTTTCCTTGTACTTTCATTTCTTAATGCTAGATTTTTGCCAATTTGTGTTTCTTTTTGTTTCCTTTTGTCTTTCTTTCCTTCTTTATTTCTTTCCTACTGTTTTTCTTTCCTTGTCTCTTTCTTTCTTTCTTTCTTTCTTTCTTTTTTCTTTCTTTCTTTCTTTCTTTTTTTTTCTTTCTGCCCGTCTTTTTGTTTCTTCTTTTTTTCTTTTTTCTTTTTCTTTTCTTTCTTTTTCCTTCTTTTTCTTCTTTTTTTCTTTCTTTCTTTTCTCCCTTTCTTTATTTCTTCCAGATTTTTACATTTTCTATATGTTGTTTTTTCTGTCCATTCCATTAATTCAGTTGTTGTACGCTTATTTTCCTTCCATGAAGAAATAGACACGCATCACCACAGCATTTAACAAGCAATCCCTTGAGCGCGTACAGATAATAAACAAGTCCGCCTTCTCAAAACGGCGACATTTTTCAACCTACCAGCCGATTGACATCTTCAAAAAGTGGCCTACAATTAAAGCCCAGGGGCACGGAAGATACTCCTTCGTTTTTAAACGCTACCTTGGAAACATCAACAAATTGATGCACTTGACTGCTTTACGAATATTTCTATTCTTCTTCCAACGGCATCGTGACTACATTTTGCCGAGTCTTTACATTGAAACTACTTTTGTTCCGCTAAGTGTACTTACATAAACATCATAACACGACAGATAAAACCTGATCAGACAATTATATACCTGGATTTACTACAATAAATGCGGGTGCTTTGTGTACGTCACGGGTTGCTTGTTGTTGATTATGACGAAAATTTATCTAGCGTTGCCAGTGTATGAAAGAAGATAACATTCCGTTAAAAGAAAATATAAATTTCAGAATGTGTTGAAAATTTTTATCCTTGTAGATTTGGAAAATGGGGCAGAAATTTAGGGA